TTTGTAGTTTGGTTGTTTCTATATTGTAGCTACACAAAGGTATGTGTTTTCCCTCTTTTTGCTCTTTGTAGTTCCATCAGGGTGACTCTCTGCAACTCATTTTCTACTGCTTTCCAGTTTTTGTACTTAGAGTTACTTCCCTTAGACTAGCTAACCAAATATGTAGAATTTCAACATGATATAATCTTAATTATTGTGACCATAGGCTTCTGATTTTGTTTTCTTGAATTATTGGAATGGCATTACTGCACATCACATTTGACTTTTCTAATATTTACATGTAATTACATGTAAAATTGTAAAACGTGTATTCCACCCTTGACGGATCCTTTTTTTAAACATTCGGCCATGTTGAAGATATGTAATTTGGTAATTTTTCAGAAAACTTGAAAAATATTGCTGTTTTCTTTATGATTTATGCTTAATTTGACTAACTTTATTGATTTATTTTCATTTAAAGACTATAGAGGACTTTCATATTTCAGCTTCCTAACCTGTGAGAGCTTGGATTGATCGGCGTGTGTTTTCTCTATATGAGAAGAAGACTTGAGGGCTTCTACCCACCCGATATATTTTTGATTAAATGGCAGCTGTACATTGCAGGTAAATTTTTCATTTATTAATTTTTCAGCCTCTTATTGTGGTGTACATTTTGGGGTTTTAAGTCAATTATTGCATTTCTTAATTTTTTACAAATTAATCTGAATTCCCCTTTTTAAAGCATGAAATTCAATAATGTAGATTATGGTTGTACTGTATAAGACTATCAGACACTGCACTTTGATTTGTTATCAAAAGTATTAATTTTCTCTTGTCTGAATTAATTGTAAACAAATATAATAGGGGGCACCTGCTATTTCTCTACGTGTCTTTCACTGGGGGGTGGGGAAACTTTTTTGTATATACTTAAGCAACAGGAGGGGTTAGATAAGAATCATTTAGTATATCAGAGTCTAAATCAATTTACTTTTCATAAGCAAACAAAATTTCTATATCAGTTTTTTAAAACCTTTTAATTTTGCTTAATTAATTATGATTTATCAAATTTTGGACCTTTTTTCTTTATTCTGGGTAGATTCCACCCCTATGAAAAATTTGACACAATTATGACTTTATTCATTTTATTAACATCAAAAAACAAAATCATGTTATTTTATATTATTTTATTCATAAAAAGATTATTTCACACAGGAATGAAAGTTTTTCACTCTTTGGAAAAGCACCTGCAGCAGGGAGGGGACATTTTTAAGATGGCCACAGATTCCAAGACACTGAAGTGACAGGCCTCAAATTTCATACATGTATATTGGTAAGTATAAGGTCTTTGAAAATTACAAAATTGACTAATTTTAGGTAAATATGTATAAAAAAAGAGCACCAAAGACCCAGGTTTTGACATCATTTCCTGGTTGAACAAGAAAGCAGAGTAATAAATGGGTAGGCTCCTTTTGGCTGAAAGAGGTATGTAAATATTTTCATTTTAAAAAAAATATTAATGTTTGAAATAAATGATGGAATGTGGAAAAACAAAAATTCTAAAATACCAGGGGAGATTGTAGGAGTGGGGATTGATATTTTTGGCAGGGTGTCATTTACTGCCGATCTCTGTAAGTTCTAAATAACTGCAAATTTGACCTATAAACGCCGCAAAACGGTGTATTTTTTTTCCGTTTTTAATAAGTGCTTAAAAAACTTTCAAATAATACCAGTGATTTGTTTGAACGGGAATTAGTAAATTACTTGGAGGGCAAAAGGTTTGTATAGAGTTCTATGGGAAATTAATTGGTACTCTTTTCCCAGAAACAATGGCCGCGTACGCAGCATGTTCACGATAGCTAAGTAAATTTGTTACAGCAAAGTCATAAAACTTGTCATTTATTTCTATGTTAAAGACTCTCTATTCCAAGAAAGGAAACTTGTTAGATTGAAGGTTATTGATAATAAAAAAAAGACATTTTGGTGCCGTTATTCATATGATTTTACCAGCATCAAAATATGTAACGTACAAAAGTTTGACTGGTCCGACAAAACATTCGACTGTGTCAGACCTAATGTCTGACAGCGATTAAAAAATTTCGACAAGTCTGTTAATTCAGTTTGAGGATGTTTGACTCTCTTTTTTAATTCAAACAATTTTAAGGTTTTTTAATATGTATGTTGATTGACCAGTGAATATTAGCGTGGACCAGTGAATTTCACTAAATCATTTTTTTTTTTTCAAAAACTCTGAAAATGTATTTTATATTGATTATTTAAAAAGATTATTTCACACGTTTCAAGAAATTTTTCCCAAGGCGTTTTCATACCTAGCACAACAAATTTTGTCTTACCCTTTTGTATATTTTTAAGCTCACAGAATAACCATAAAAACTTAATTTTATCGATCAACATATTTTTTACAGAAATTTATTTTATTTATAAAAAGTACATAAAACTCATTTTCTCTAAAATACATCTTGAGAAAAATCAATAAGGACTCCTTTTGTAGAGAAGAAACATTAATGAATTAGATTACATCAAAAAATTGAATTAGAATTAAATGCACTGATGTAGAAAAAACATTTTCAAAATCTTTGGTATCAAAGTTATTTTTAGTTATCTTTCCTGTATATTAAATACTCAAAAACTTTGGCAAGTCTCCACATACGTCACCATACTATATTGAGTAATTACTGGTCACTGAAGTGGACAGATATAAAAGAGGAAACAAACACTATTTTATCAATATTTATAAACACACAATGAGATAATGTATTTATTTATTGAAACGCACAAATTAGTGTGCCGAAATTTCAACTATCAAAACAGACTCGGTTGATTAGCCTGAAAGTATAAATAACCTAGTACATGTATTTGTCATACCCGGTACCTGTTGTTTACGAATTATTATGTAACATAATCCAAAACGTCTGTTGTTCTTTCATTTAAAAAATCTGCACATCTTTTTTTCCATCCGTCACTCCGTGATCATGTCAGCCATGTTTTATTGTTTACAAACGGTGCTAGGCCAAATCGTCCATCCATAAACTCGATAAAGCCGGAAGTTAAAATATTTTTTCTCTATATACGTCACAAGTCACATGGTGTGGAGGACCCTTAATAATTTATTTTTTCACTCATATTTTTAAGATATGTAAAAGTAAAACAGAAAAAGCTTCATGTATGATTCGAATTCTCTCCATAGCGCAGGATTTGGTCCAAGACCGACCGCTTTAACCACTACGCTACGAAGTATATGAATTATTGACGTCGGTCAGTGTGATTTAAATGAACGGACTGGTTGAAGCGTACATTTTTTCAGAAATTTTCGATTTTCATATAGAATGGGTTCAGATTCCATCTTTTAGACAAATGATCATGAAATAAATTTTAAATTTACGTGTCCATCATTTAAGCGTTAACGAAGAATAAAAGCCCATTCATGTTGGTTCATTTTTTATTGCTCTAATAAACCCATTTTTTACTAAATATGCTTAACTGTCAACTTTGAAGTAAAGATTATCAAATAATAAGTCATTCAGTAAAATAAAATGATAAAATGTTTTGAAGATGACAATATATCAATGTTAAAAAATAAAACTTTTCTGTGACTTTTGAAAATTGAGAAACATTTTGTCTGGTAGGTGTGATAATTAATATCTGGTCTTTGTTTTGGAAATTTGATTATAAAATTTATTTAGTTATAAATTTTGACAAAACCAAAAATTACATTCACTTATTTTCAAACTTTAACCCCCACCCCTGTACACACAGGGGCCCTGAGATTAACCATTTTGGAAGAGGTAGCCTTATCTAACATATTTATGTACTTGGTTAGTTTATCTAAAACCAAGGAGCAGAGGAGAAGATTTTCAAAGAATTGATATATTTTCACCATATAATCAATACAGCCCCACCCTAACACCAGAGTCCCCAACCCTGGGGCCATGAAATTCATAATGTTGGAAGAGACATACTTGCTCATCATAACTATGTACTTGGTTGGTTTGTTTCATGCCCAGGGGCAAAAAAGATGATTTTCAAAGAAATAATGGATGTTAACTATATAATCTTTATAGCCCCGTCCTAGAACCAGAACCCCTGACCCTGAGGCCATGAATTTCACAAATTTGGTAGAAGACTTAATGCTGATTACAATCATCCCAACAGTCTGACAGCTTGATGTTAAGAAGTAAAGAAGATTTTTAAAGATTGCATTAATTTTAGTGGTTTTGGCCCCATCCCTAAGTCCCCAGGGGGACAGGGACGATAAAATTCAAAATTTTTGTTCCCCTTCACAAACAAATACTTTATGCCAAAATTGGTTGAAATTGGTTGAGTGGTTGCAGAAAAGAAGCTAAAAATATTTAAATGTTAACACACGACTGATTCATCAACTTGTTCGTCAATATCTTTTTGAATATAATTTACCGATATCTTTCACAAAAATCTGATTTGTATATAGCCTAATGAAATCGTGCATGCATCTCTTATTTTACGTTTGGATCGAAGAGACATTTGGGGTTTACCATAGCAAAACTTAAACACTGTCATTCTTTCCATAGTAACATACTTAATATGGTAACCTTCTCTTATCCGCAACTCCTGCTATATCACTGAATGAAATTTATTGAGATTTTCGCATAATCTTTTGGTACACGGTTACTATTGTGAATCTTCTATTTCGTTTCGATTTATTTAACCTGTTGACAGATACTTTGGGTTTCCCATACCATAAACCTGGACAGTAACACTGGGACTACCTAACTCTTATTAACAACTTCTCCTATATATGCCATTGACTTAAATTTAATTGACATTTCACAGGATCTTATAACATACTGTCATTAGCACTTTCTATCTGGTGTTTTGATCGAAGAGACATCTGGGTTTTCTCAAAGTAAAAAATGGATTTTGCCACATTATGCTAATATGGAAACGGGGGGAATCATTTTGTGAGCTCTATGCTCACAGTATCCCCAAGTTTAGTTTATATTACAACAAATACTTTAAATTTCATTTCTCAATTTTATTTAGGTTATTCTTAGGGTGAGAAAATATTCATTTCATACAAATTGGCATAAAACATGCATGTATATATAATAGCAATGAACAAGTTAACATTTACATGTACATAAAGACACACAATGTATAAATGGATTTACTGATATCACAGATTGGCTTTGGTAAACAATAGTACATGTATATCATTGTTTGTCAGACATACCGGTAGTTACAGAATAAATAACACTGGACGGACCTCTATAGTCAGAAATGATTAGATATAATGATGATAAAAACGTATTGTCCATTGTTGGTTGCGTTTTATAGTGACGATATCACTGGAATCGCCCTGCATGAGGGACGGACCCCGGACCGGGTTTTAGTTTAAGGGTCAGGAAGTACGGTATATGTGCCAGATATTCTATCTTGCTAATTTTTACTCCTTCGTCCTACAATAAAAAGGAAAATAATCAATAATAAAGTTATATACTTATTCACCACTAAATGAAGGATAATCATTTTCATGGTAAAATATTAATCGCGTGACTTACAGGCTCTATGACGTCGAGAATTTTGTTCCAGGTTTTATCGTCTGCTGAGAGATCAGTTTCCTGCGCGGTAGACAGGACTTCCTGTAGAGATTCTAGCGAGATTTTACCTCGCTGATTCCGGTCCACGGACTGGAACAAGTCCTGAAATTATTTACTACACTGGTCAGATTATGAGCAAGGTAAACAATGAGATTCTAAACAAGAGATGATGTTCAAACTTTTCTTCATATTGCATCCAGTATTCTATCATCAATTATTTCTTGAAATAATGTATGCCCATTGACTATAATAGAAATTATAAACAGTCTTTACGCCTCTTTGGTTGCGGACAATTTCTAAGAAATATCTTACCACATATTTGACGATGTTGCTATGTAGCGAAGAGAAGTCAAGGTTACCGAAGCTGTCGGCTGCCTCCTCTCTGGAATTCAAAATGATCATAAAATTAAAATATATATAACATCTTTAGTCCATTTATGGACTAATGTTAAGATTGAATGTATTCTTTTTCAGAGATAGTAGTACTCAAAAGCTTACCGATTTGTTTGCATCACATGTACAGTTTAAATGAAATGATTTGTACATTTAAGTATTGATTAAAATCTCAGTGAACCCTTACTTGAGGCTTTGTACTTTCTTGGTGAGTGTTGACATGGTCATAAACTCGTCCACACCGAAAAACGTACTGGAACTAGTAATTTCATATACCTATAAAATAAAAAAGTCATACTAAAAAAAAATTAAACATGTACACAGGTCTAGATCATGATATTTTATTCAATTTACCAAGAGAGTAATATGCTGCACAAATTACATTATTGACGTTTAGAATTTCAGGAACATCTCTATGAATACACACCTGTTTCAAAAACCGTTCTTGTTGTGATGTCATCTGAGGAGGAAGTTGCGATTTCACTTGTTGATACATCAGATGACTATAAAAAAGGAAAACTTAATCAGCACATCTTCATCTTCTTTATACATGTAAAGCTAAACACACCTCAAAAGCGTTTACAATTTACAGTAAATTTGTGATTACCCATCTGCATCTGTGTCCAACTTCTGGAAAGCTTTTCTGAGCTCATCCCTTTGTTCCTCAGGAAGTAAGTGAGAGAGTTCACTCCCCTGGGGAAATGCAGTCATTTTATCTTACAGATTATACAGATGTTCGTTTATCAAACAAGAATTAGGTTAATGGAATTGCCAAGGACAACAATAATGTATAATTATTAAACTGCATAAAACTATAACTTCAAAAATTAAAAGACAAGGACAAGTTAAACTCAGCAAAATTGTTATACATGTAGACATATTTGCTTGAGACTATTACCCTGAGCGGGTTCGGTGTGGGGGCCTTCATTGGACTGTCGGCGAGTTTGGACCGCCCTGACAGGCGAGATTCCACTCTCTCCAGGGCAGCCACGTCTTGTTCTGGCCTGATACGAGAATTATCACAGGCCAAGTCAATAAAATATTCTTACTTTTGCTATTTGCCGCTTGTTACAGAATGCGAATTCTACACTACAGTTTACACATAAATATTTGAGATACCGGTACTAGACGTATACAATCATGTATATCTTATTTCTATCTATCTTTTAATTAGATTTCATTTTTCTGATTGTTGTACTATATAGGTATAAACATGTAGCAAATACTTCTAATTTTTACTTTTGTGCATTTTCTAATATGAAATAAAATATGATTTAATTATCCAACATGCAGGGACTCACAAGTTTTCCTTTAAGTTGTCAATCTGTAGAGGATTCTTGGACGAGTCTATCATCGGCTCCACTTTCTCTGCACCCCGTGATTTTGGTAAGTTGCCAGCGGAAGGAATTTCCACTCTTTTCACTGCGTCATTTCTTGTCGAAAGTCTGCAAAATCCAGAGCTATTACATTTGCATTCTGAAAGATTTTTTGCTAGGATTTTAGTATATCAGTTTATTTTCGGTAAGCGGTATGACACGTTTCACACAGGCAGAGCCCAGTCCTTTAATATCTGGACACTAGTCAGCTAGTGTCATTTCTTGTCGAAAGTCTGCAAAATCCAGAGCTATTACATTTGCATTCTGAAAGATTTTTTGCTAGGATTTTTAGTATATCAGTTTATTTTCGGTGAGCGGTATGACACGTTTCACACAGGCAGAGCCCAGTCCTTTAATATCTGGACACTAGTCTGGTAGTTGGATTATAGTTCCCTAATTGTCTATTTTTCGAGTCTTTACTTTATGCAAACTACTTATATACTTCAATAATAATATCTTTAATTGAATTTCCATGTTCACAAATGTTGAGCATAGATAACAAATACGAGTAATAATAAACGATTCGCCTTACAGGCTATATACATGTATGTGAATCAAGATACGTTTGAATCCTATCAACTTACTTCAGTTGTGTATCGGTCGCTTCCGGTAAGGTGGCGCTTCTGTTGACCACAGAATCCATCTTGGACTGGATGTTTGTACGTGACCGCTTCAGGTAGGCAGGACTCATACCTAATTAATGATTAAAGAGTTGCAGGTAAATTATTGTATTTTATGTTTATAGAGAGAATATCTTTACATTTCTCCCTCCGATGGCTCATACATTTGTTGTTACGCCATACATAGGTCAGTTCAGTTAGTAGCCACTCAATAACTGATGGGAGATAAATATGGGATTTTGTTAAATTAAATATAATATTAATTACATCTTCTGGTTAAATGCAACATGGAAAGCATGCATGATAACATGTTATATTTTAGCCATAATATTAACACTACGAAAAAGCGATAGTTAGACGAGTGATGAAGAATGCCTAGCTCCTAGCAATTTGTAGCACTGGAAGACTCGCGAGATGATTGCATGTTTCTGATCAACCATGAAAAAACAGAGGCAAATACTTACATCTGGACAACTGAAGCAGAATTGTGTTTTTACTTAAAGTGACTGTCACCCTGTCTTCTTCTTCCTTTTCAGAGTCGATCATTTTGTCGATCCTTTACAAATTACTTGAGAACTCCGTACAAATTCCACATTTTATAGCATCGTGTTGACCTCTTGGCATTTGATTATGTTGGTTTGATTTAGAAAAGAAGTCTTCAAGCAGAATTTGGTTGGATTTTAAACGGGTTAACTGTATTAGAGGTGTTTCTAATCCGGTAAGTATATCAGCGGAAGGGTTAATTAGATATATTTGTATACTCAAATTAGCGACCATGCAATTAATGAAACATATTGATTTCTTAATCCATTTAAAAACGCTGCCTAGAGGTTAGAAATAATTCCCTTTGTATATATTTTTTGCGGCCAAGCATTGCATGCACAAGTACCAAAGATGATTATGTATTATCCCCAATTAAGTTTAATGTTATCATTTGCAAAGCATTCAATAGTTTCGTGACTTACATAAATATATACATGTGCATTTCACTATTTGCAAATATATCTTAAAATTTTACAAAATTCAAGAAAAGTAGAGAGTGGGTAATTTTCCAATATATGCAGCATTTTTAGACAGAATTTATGATTACTTAATTTCTTCTTAAGCTAATTCTTATATAAACTTAGCACTACTTTTTATATTACAAAATGGTCGATATAATTTTTTTACATTTTAAAATTAAAAACAGAAAAATTATTTTATTTCTGACTTTTTTCCTTTTTGTTTACAGTGGAAAAAATTGCTTCAGGCGTCACCATTCAGAATCTCTACGAATAATTTTAGGGAGGAATTAAAGATTTCATAAAAAGGCTCAGGCAGGTACGATTTTAAATCATTCCTGGTCCACCCTAAATCTCGATCATATAAATAATTATCACGATATATTTACATCAATGACAGACTCAAGATAAAACATGTCAAAACTAATCAATAAAAAATTACCCATTAAAGAAGCTCTAAACAATAATGAAAATAGGGGGTTTTTTTGGAAGTTGTATAATTTTTTTAAATAAAGGTTTGTATATTAATTATCTTTACCCAATATTTGCAATATTTCTGTAGGATTGATACATGTATTAGAAGATGGCAAAGAATAAGTGAAAAGAAAACACTGTTAATGTTTTCTTTTGTTTTGGAAAATGCATACAAATCATGTTTTCAATAATTATGGTTAAAAATAATTCTATTTTCTAATGATTTAAGTTGTTCATTCATAGTAAATTTTCAATTAAATCAGCTCACATCAAAGGGCAGATAACTCTGTCTGCAATAAAACTACCATGTAATCAGAAATCTTCCGTGAGCAGTATTTAGAGCTTCCTTAAGAAAACTTAAAGTAAGGTACAAAAGGCATAAATGTTAGTACTGCCAAGTTATTTGGAAACCATACATGACATGCTGCAAAAATGAAGCGCAGTTCTATGAAACTTCGTAGAAAGTTAAATGTTACGCGGAAAAGTCATGCAAATTATGCTTTCAAACACATGCTTTTTTAAATCAATAGAATGCCTCTGGTTGAAGAAGTTTGAAAATCAGAGGTGTGAAGAGAAATACTGTAAACATTGGCATTCGTAACAATGCATGCAAAGTTAATAATAACGCCGATTTACGTGTACATTATCAGAATTTTCATGAGAAAAGAGAAAAGAAAAAATCCAAAACTTATGTCAAGATTAGTTGTTTTTGATCACTCAGCATGCAGGTACAAATTTCATGACTGATATCCAAATAACTAGCAATAAAAACACTTTTACACAGATCAAGGCTTACCAAAATTTCGACCTATTTGAAAAATACTGCATGAAACTGGCTTTGAAATAAAACTATCCCACCACTAGTATTACTTTAAATTTTATTTTTGTTACTCAAAACCCCCTAAATAAATAAATATGCTTTCTGTTGACAGTTGTTTGCATACAATACATCAATTAAAAAATGATTTTCAACAGTTCAACAAGTCATATATAGCAAATACTCAAGTACAAAGATTACTTTCAAAAGGAACTATAATACATAAATTATGTTTTGTAATACAGACATAGCTCTAGAACAACTGTTTTCTTTGAAAAATGATGAGGTATAAAATACAAATGTTTACAAGTCACTTATTCAAAGTCGTGGAAAAAATGAAATGAGTGTACCTTGGCGAGCAAAGTTTTCACGTGTCCAAGGCCCTTCCTCCGAAAACCGGTGCGTTTCCTGTGCCATGTCATGTGATTTGATTGATATAGGTCTCCGGCCTCGCTGAAGTTCTGCAGTCAAATCACAGACCGAATAATACAATATACGCCGCCTAAATTCTCTATCTTTGCTGCTATTTTTTTCATTGAAATCGAAATGGAATAGGAAGTTTGTCCTCCATTCAACTTATATGTACAGCAATACAAAATTAGAAATGTTACTTCTTTGGGTATCATATCAGATACGATACACTGCTTGTTCTCAAAAGTCAATTGCAAAGATCGATCCCACATCGTTTACACTTTTCATCTTTTTCTTTAGAAATGGTGTATCATATTTTAAATGATACCGCTCTTACCCTCAAAAGGCACACAACAAACGATGTCACAAACCTCTCTTCTCGACATGAACGGTGCAAATCTCGAACTCAAACAAAAACAAAGCAGCATAAGAACAAAAGCAGAAGCAAGCTTTTACACAAGAAGACACACAGGAAATGACGTCACAAATTACAGGAAATGGTCAGTTTCAGGTTCCAATGCAATGAAATCGTAAGTATGTTTCACACAATAATGAAGACAGCGTGGTCACTCCCCCTCTCTTTGGCGTGTGCTTAAGCTATCTGGGTAGGATGATATTAGATGGATCAAAGTTCGTGTTATTGCCACAACAATCAAGTCCGAACGCAACAATAAATAAAACCAATAATTTTTTTCTAATTCATATCTCACTTAAGATTTACTATTCGTCAAAGAATCAATAATTACCGTTTAAATAAATACATGATTTTCATGATGAAGTAAAGTGTAAAGTGTGCTTGGGAAGCAAAAAATATCAAAAAGTGAGATTCATGTGATCAAACCTGCGGGAATGCTAATTCTAGCTTTTATTTGATCTACAGTGCGCTTTTCTCTGGCTAGAAGAAGAGGTGAATCAGTAGAACCTGAAGGAGGAGAACAGGTCACGCGTCAGTCACGTGCTACTCAAAACATGCAACAGTGCTACCATTACACAATAAAAATTAAAATATTTTATCCATTTATGGGTTGTAAATGTGCTTTTATTCTTATTTATTTCTTTCAGAAGTATCTTCATATCTTTCTTGATTTATAATTATACAGTTCTGAACAATGTATCTTTATTTTATTTTTAAGCAGCAGGGTTATGCATTAATTTGTCGTCCAAACAGGAAGCAATGTATTATTTTGTTCGGAGTTAACTTGCAGATTCTAGAAAACAAAATAATTATGCAGACATGTCCATGCATTATACATTTGAATTTATTTTGCGTTATATTGTTTACATTCACTTGATTATACATACTACCTTCAGCTTCAAAGGAGAGATAATGTCGGTCTTCTGCATAAATATTTACCAATATAAAATACATATACCTGTTGTCGTTTAAAACTAATTAAACTTGATCGTAGACTAGAATTCTTTTCACAAAACGAAACTTTACAAAAGCATAACATTACAACACAGAAAATAAGCATGAACTGCATTCTGAACTGTTACATGCTACATGTACGTAGAAAGCAAGGTTATACTGTAGCTTATGAACTGCATTAGATATTAGGGTTTAACGGGATACACCTATGGTGGGTTAAGTAAGAAACAATAAATCATTATAAGAACACTTCATCAGAAACAGGGAAGCCACGCAATGATTGTGGTATATAAGTACCTATCATGTTTCTGTTGTCAATTCTCGGAAGTTGGCCGGCATTTTGCCTTAGCCTCGGTCTGGGTAACCCAGTATCTGGGTCAACTGTCTGTTTGCCAAGACGATGACTAGAAGGAACTGAGGCTGAAAAAAGTTTTAATGGCTGATGTATTTGAAATAATCAGTTGAATGTACCTACCTAAATTCCTCCGTAGAATACTTACTCGTATTCTAAAGAACATGTTATAAGAAGTTTTAATTTGAATGAAGAGTAAAGATGTATACATGTACAAACTACTTTCTATATCTTGCTAATTGAACTAAATATTTTAGCATGAAGATAAACATTATGTGAACAAAGACATTTACACAACAGTTCAACACTAAGGAATGTAGTAATCCAAGCTCTACAAAGATTATTAAAATAAATTTAGCATATATAGATGGACGCTCATTTTGATGACGTCATGTATTGATGTGTACTCACTGTCCTCATCACTGTCGTAATCCAGTATCGGTGGCCGCCGTGGCTTCATTGACGAGTGCATGCTGTACAAAATAATAAATTATACATAATTATTAATTGTACATAGTAAAAATTTGCCATTAAACATTTATTTTTTATGAAATATCGATAAAATCTTACTCTGGTAGCTGAAAACCCCTTCCATGAAATAAATCCCTGGCATTTCTAGGCATGATCAAGGATTTCAATTTTTGAATCTCCTTTTGGATGTCAAATCTGTTAAATAATTTTAATACATTTTTATTACTGTAAATCTTATAGTTTGGAAATTGATTTCTTATGTATGCTGTATTCACTTTTCCCTGTGTTTTCTTTGTTTTAAACATTAATTAATAATAAAAAAAACATATATTAAGCTAAAATTTGAAATATAAACAGTTATACTCCAAAGTTTCCTACCTTTCAGAAAATTCGACTTTCTTTCCCCCCATGAGAAGGTCGAGCTGGGCTCGGTGAGGTAACATTTCTCGTCGTCGTTTTATTCCGCGCAATCTTTCCATGTACTCCAGCTCGGCCTTTAGTCGATCCCTCTGGCTCATTCTGAAAGTTAGATAGCAAAATGATACAAAAGTCAAAGCTATATATATAAACATGTTTAAGATTGACGATACCCCTTTAATTGTGTTTTTTTAAATTATCAAGTTATTGATTTTTTTATGTACCTACCCTTCGAAAGACTTAGGGGCATCCCACTAAAAAATGAAATTAACATTCATCAAATTGATATATCTTAAGCACTTTGCATAACTTAAAAAAGAAAGTAAGTTGTTTCACTGAATCACAACATTCAAATTCTAGGATCTAGCGTCAAAACAAAACATTTTAATAACATGCAGAGTAAAACATGCAACATTGAACGTCTAAGAATATTTGATCTAGCCCATTTATTTATTACCAAAAGAGCACCGTCTCTCTAAAACACAATTAGTATACCAAGATACAATCAAAATCAACTGTACATGGGTTTATATTTTGACAGGAGAGGAAAACATAGAAAATGAGGTAAAATTCGCTCACCTGGTACCGATCTGTGTGTAGTATCACTCCGCGCTTAGAACCTAATGAATATTCATAACCCCCAAAGGAATCTAAATGACGTTTTGGTATAGGAACTTTCTTAAGTAATGTGGACGACCTGTTTGAAATGAAATTATTTTACATAAACTGTCATTTAAGGTATGTCCCACTTTTTGATTTAAAAAATGTGATCGCAAAAGATAGAAAAAAAAATACATAGACAATAAACGAAAAACCTAGGGATTATTTGCACGACAAACAACATAACTACAATTTATCAGTAGGTATACATTGAACATCAAACCATGCTTTTTAGTTTGAAATTTCATGCCTAATGCTTAAAAGAATGTTTCCATTAAAGATGCAATGAAGGACTATATTTCTGTTAATAACAAACGTCATTTCTTTTGTCTTTCTCAAATATTTCAATCAGGGTTAGTAGGAAAATGTTATTAAATTTGTTTTTTCTCTATTTTTATCATGTTTTCATTGACATGAAGAAAATAGTAAGATCCTGTGTTACAGAACTATCCAGAACGTTTCCATGTTTGACACCTGTAATACTCACTCTATCCGGGGTAACTCGGACTGCCTAGTTATAGAGAAAGTCTCAATACAAACTGTGTCAAAAGTAGTCAGCCTCATAGAGGACAATCTTATATTGTCAAACACATTTATAATGAAGAAGGTTTTTAATTCTAATTGTTATGCCATCATTTACACATTTTGTTGTCTACAGATTTTTCACCGCTCATGAAAAGGAGCAAGCAGCGAATTTGACCGGTCGGCAGGGGATGCTTACTCTTTCATGGCACCTAATCTCACTGATGTTTTGAGAGGCTTGTGTTTGCTTTGTTCCTTATTCATAATGTCTGAATGGACTTTGAGCTGAAATACTGTTCGTTATCTCTATATTCCATTGTATTTGTTTTTAAATGGATGGTTGTTTGATTCTTTTTGTAACAGCATATAAATTATCAAGAAAATATAACACATACAACCTTTTTATCTCAGATATTCCATAACTTTGTTAGTTTTTTTAGCATTTTTTTCAGCGTATAGACGGAACATTGAATAATGTCACCGTATTTAAAAATTTAAATAGAATTTGACCTTTTTAATAAGCTTGTACTTGAAATCAATGTTCAGGGTTAATTGCAATTGATGTACATATCTATTTAAACAATTCAGTCAAAACCGTCCGTATAAATACTGGTGGGATTTAGTCCTGTCCCATAATGTTTCACGACAAGGAACGTGTGCTTCTATTCAACAAAATCCAGAGGTTGAGACCAGTTAACGACTTTAATTACTTATGCATGTCATTAAGCCTTTGCTGAATAGACAATTGTTGAATTATAAAATGAACAATTCCTTAGATTAGGAGCCTTTGAATTCAGATTATTCTGATCGATTTTAAATGCCCTGTTTGAGGGCGTTGTGATACTATTGTTCAAATTCTGAGGAGCTGGGGTTTTTTAACAGACATCTTCTTTTACGTACGCGCGTTTTCCAATTTTTTCCTGCCATTTTAATTCATATGTATCGCATTTAGACTGCAAATATTTTACATCAACTCAATTTTTAAGCAACATATGTACAGGATAACCCAAATGTTAAAATTAAATTTCGGCGATGCCAAAAAATTATTTACAAATAACATCTTGATGTCTATTATTTTCCATTGAAATGAGAAACATTGAGAAACAAATACATCAATATTCCGTATTTTTCTACCCTTCTATTGTCAACTTATCTCTACAGTTGTAGTGTTTCCTACCCTCCTTTATAAATAAATATAACCTACATGAAGTTTTGGGGTTGGTAGGGCACGGGCTCTGGATTAATATTAAACTCGCCATCATCCATAGACGTCCGCGTCCGGTTTGTGTAGGACATATGACGAAACTGAAATGAAAAAAAAAAATAAAGGTAAGTCTTGTTGTAGAACAGTAATAAAACAGAACAGGTAAAGGTAAGTCTTAGTTTGAAATATATTTTATTCACTGAATTGGAAGTGAAGGTAAGTCTTGTTTTATAACAGAGCTAATATATGTAATAAAACAAAAACATGAAAGGGTAAGTCTTGTTTTATAACAAACCTACTGTAATAAAACGAAAACATGAAAGGGTAAGTCTTGTTTTATAACAAAGCTACTGTAATAAAACGAAAACATGAAAGGGTAAGTCTTGTTTTATAACAAAGCTACTGTAATAAAACGAAAACATGAAAGGGTAAGTCTTGTTTTATAACAAAGCTACTGTAATAAAACAAAAACATGAAAGGATAAGTCTTGTTTTATAACAAAGCTACTGTAATAAAACGAAAACATGAAAGGGTAAGTCTTGTTTTATAACAAAGCTACTGTAATAAAACGAAAACATGAAAGGGTATGTCTTGATTTATAACAAAGCTACTGTAATAAAACAAAAACACGTAAAGGCAGGTCTTGTTTTAGAATTGCATTTTACAAACTTCCGTTGGAGAGAAGTGTTTTTCATTAACTTTGCCTTTCAGAAATTTACAGGCAATAAAGGGTGAATGCTTTTACAAGTAGCTGAAATTGTTTACTGTACTAGAGTTTGAATTGAAACTTTTGAATTTTTGAAAGATACTGCAACGCTTATTATGCATCCGCATCGAAAGATCCGAGGAGTATATTGTTTTGTCCTGTCTGTTTGTCTGTTTATCTGTTTGTCTGCAAACTTTAACCTTCGCCGTAACTTTTGAACCATGAATAAAAGAGACTTCATATTAGGAATGCATACTTCACTAATTAAGCTCTTTCAAATGGCACCAAAGTCAATGACCTTGTGACCTTGACTGTGACCTACTGTATATGCTGAAAATAAGGTTTTTTTTGGAAACTTGAACCTTCGCCATAACTTTTGAACCATAAAAGATCCTTCATGTTTGGTATGCATACATCACTGATTAAACTCTTTTAAATGACACCATGGTCACCTTGTGACCTTGACTGTGACCTATACGCTAAATATAGCTTTTTTGTCGGCTAACTTCTCAAATCACCTTCGCCATAACTTTTGAACGAAGAAAGATAGAGACTAAATATTTGGCATGTATACTTCACTAATTAAGCCCTTTCAAATGACACCAAGGTCAATGACCTTGTGACCTTGACTGTGTCCTTTATGCTAAAAATAACTTTTTGAACTTTTACCATAACTTTTGAACCATGAGAGATAGAGACTTCATATTTAGTATGCAAACTTCACTGATCAAGTTCTTTCAAATGACACCAAGATCAATGACTTTGTGACCTTGACTGTGACCTATATGCTAAAAATATGTTTTTTCAACTTTGTTGCCGCCGGGTGCATAGTGTTTCACAAACACAACTTGTATCTTAAAAATAAATTCTTACATTGTATCAGTATGAATTGTACTTCCATGAACATATTGATCTCTTAAAGTCTTTAATCACTTTATAAAGCCTGTCAGTAAAGGACAGGCGGCCACTTAACAAAATCATCTTTTTTGAGACTTGGTAATACATGTACAATGAATGCAATATATTTTTTTAAAAGTCCTATATTCAGTAAAGGAAAATAAAGAAAACAATGGGATTTGGAGATGCATGCAAGAACCATGAGTTCATAGAGGGTGTACAAACTATGGAAGGTTGATGTAGTTTATAAGTCAGAAGTTCATCGAACGAAAGAAACACTGGGGCCGACTGCCTCGGAGATTTCAGGAGATTTAAGTGATTAAACTTTAATCACTCTCGAATAACTTTTCCGGGGAAAATAGACACAACTTTACCATTCTGCATATTAGTAACTTATTAATTTTAATTCCTTAAGGTTTATAATAATGCCGAATTACGTGCACATGCTTTCGTCGAAAAATTTGACAACCCATACCTCCGGTACTTTGAGTTTTGTGCCCTCTAAAACGAAGGTTGTGATTGGTCCAGAGGTAGAAATTGGTCCGGTAGAATTAACATTGGAGGGATACAGGTCACGAACACTTAGAGCTAGTTCTCCACTCTCCATTCTGATAATTCCAAATCTATGTCAGTAGCTAGTTCAATAGTTTAAATCCGAAAATTGTGCATAATTCATCTTGAAAACCATTCTTCTGTTGAATCACATCTTCACCCATGTTTTATAAGTTACTAGAACTTGTTAAAAGGAATGTGAATCCATGATTCAAAAGCAAGGAGTCTTCCATTACCAAATCACACAGTTGCAAAAGAAGACATGGAATCTATGTTCACTTTGAATACAATCGGTGTACAAATAAACGATTAGATTATTAACCGGAGTGTGATGAATTTCTTTGTTAAAATAAGATAACAAATGGAACAATATTGTAGCCGTATTGTTTTTGCTAAATCACCATTGTTCTAAGCGGCAACCCTTAACAACGCGGACCCTCCGGTCGCTACTATCCTCCACGCTCATTCGGCATACATCTAGAGTTTTCAAAACTGCTGGTGTGTGACGAATGTTAAATATCCTTTATCGAATGACAGTACACAATAGGCTTGTGTTTTATGAATTGATGCATGGTTCGAATTTTATCTATTAAAACATTTATTCCGTTGAGTGCCGGCCTCTTTTGATCGTTAGTCAGTTTACAAGCTTTTCAGCGTTTGGGTAACGTGCCAATTGAATTTATTTTAAAATCACTCTTTGCAAATATTTTGAATACGCTATTTCAGTCTATGTGCATATAGAACAGGTATAAAAGGTACACAGACTTTTATTTCAATATAAATTTTTTAGGACTTTAACACACTTAATACAACTTTAACCAAACTGCAATCGATTTTCCCTAGAGTCCCCTCCCCATGTTTGTTTGGTGTTTGAGTGTGTATTTAGTTCATTGTGCTCAAATTAACCACAAAACAATAGTTCCTCAAACTTTTCATTTTTCTCGTCTTAAAAGTCACTATTAAATATTAAAGGATGTCAACAATGCATGCATTTTTACCGATTGCAGTCATAAAGAAGTACCAGCGTTGCATGTCCCTTAATTCCTTAGACTGGGCTCTGAGATAATCCTTTTAGTTTTTACAGAAAAACCGTTTCGCGATAGATAAGATGTGTTGGTTGATTAATTACTTAGTTTTAACACGAACACTTACAGTGATTCGCATAAAAAGAAATGTTTTGTTGTATCCTCTAACTGCAACATCAAAAAAGATAGACGTCACAGATTTGAATCTTTTGGGGAAGCAAAAACTTATTAACAAACTCAATTCAATTTTTTTAATTCATTATAAAGATTTAATGTAAATGTTAAATAATGTTATTGCAAGATAAAGCATAACATTTTACGATTAAAGTACAAGCATATGTTTTTTAATATAAGATTTTTTTTTAATATCTATTAAGGGGTATTCGTCAGTCTCTTCTGTAGAGTCATTTTGACATTTTCTTGATTTCATGACACGAGCTCCTACAAAACTTTGCTGGTCTACGGACCAATGGGACGGCCCTCGTATATATATATTATAAAACAATCAAGTTCTTTGATATGTTTTAAGGGGGGACCTATGTCCCAAAAGTCTTTGTGTGAAATTTTCAAAACTTTGACATTTCTTTCCTGACCACTTGCTCTTAATTTTTAGGTATTAAAAACAATACCTTTATATGCTTATTTTTACACAGGAGCACGTGCAAAAACAGTGTGAAATGCTAAAAATAGATTATTTTCAGTCATTATTGTTCTACCCCAAATATGCGCTAAAAAGAACCAAAAATGTCAAATCATATTCAAAATCAACACTTATTTAATCTATATGACTTGTATCTTTAAAATGGAGGCAAATTCATTGAAATCCATCCCGCTTGAAAAATTATAATGGAGCACAATGTAAGTATTTCCCCATTTTTCTTGTCGTATTTTTTACAATTCCGACATGCATAACAGGTAATATCTTAAAAAGTCTTTGTGTGAAAATTTTGTAATTCATATTTTTTGAAAGAAATGATTCATCTCTTTATTTCAACAAAGAAAAAAGTATACCTTTATGATAAAATAAACGAGAAATATGACGTTTCCTTTTATTTTTGTACTCTTGTGTCATAAATATTGACCTTTCTGCACTAAAAAAGGGTAAGTAAGCACTGACAAACACCTGAATATAAAATTATTTTGTGGAAAACGAGTATTTTGTCTTGATTAGAAACAATTTAAATAGATAAAAAAAAAATTCTACATTCCATTCATTCTGCCCCCCCCCCCCCCCCCAATTTCCCCGTCAACAACCAATGCCTATTAGAACCTAGGAATGACTTTATACAATAGAATCTACATGTACTATATAAATCAATAAGCAAATATACAAGTGTATACATTTCTTATTTTTTTCTTAGTTTTCTCCAGAAAATCGATCAATGGTAATTATAAAATTAAACATTTTCCCCTGATTTAAGCCGCTTTCTTTCCCGAATTTTATCTCTTTTTTGCACTATTATATCAGCATATTATCGGGGTATTTTTTAACAACAGAAATTGCTATGAATTATCAACCAAAGGAAGAGAATTCTAATATTAACAAACTCCATAAATCAAATAAAACTGTGATTAATGATGAATAAATTTTCCTTTTTGTAAATTTTGTACGTAATTGATTATCAACGATGTTATGCCTATATCACAGTTGCAAAAGTCAACAGGTAAAAACAAACGTCGCTATTGTGATGTCACATAACGCTGCCTTGACGTAGAACGACATAGGTCCCCCCTTAAGAGAATAAGAATGCACTGCAACGGAAGCCCTTTTATGATTTGTGCAATATTGTTAACAGCGTTTTCTGAGAAGACCCAGCATCTCCACCCAATATGCTAACATAATTATTCAATCTGGCTAGACACAGAGGTCAACTGTTTTGTCAGAATGTCGCCAAGTTTCAATAAAAATTGTCTTTGCTCT